GGGGGGGGGGGGGGCGTAAACTTAGCGTAGGTAGGCTTTGTTTGGGGCGGGTGAGGTTGCATAGTAAGAACCATAATGGGATTTGGGGATCTTCAGAGCGCTTTGGGAGAAAGAAAGACGTTCGGGGCTGGAATGATTTGGGAGTTCATGAGTGTTGTCATTCGGTTCCGTTTGCGACGTGTGCCGCTGTCACTGATAGAATATCTTGCCAGAGCTGTTGTCATGACAAGCGTCATCCATACTATTCGAGCAAGGCGGAATGATGAAACATTTCAGAATGACAGGTTCGATGACAGCTATTTGACCCCAGTTACAATGTACAGTTCTACGTCAAATGATCCCCTAAACCTTGCTCCACCTACGCAATCCTTGATAGGATTTTAACTCCTGCACAGAAAAAACTCGATATAGTACGACTGTAAGCCATTAGGACTGATAATCCTTCACCCTGTTCAAATGAAGTCGGCTCATTTACCACACGGCCACTCCAAGGTATCGGCGAAGCTTCTGGGTAAGGCTTTGGTGCCACCTGACTCCATAGGCTGATCACCGCTTGATTGTCACAATTCTGCCCTCCAAGACAGGTCCCTCAATAAAGTACAGCCCTGATGTGTTCAAAGTCGTATGAAGATACAAGTAGCAAAGTTGTGCTGCTGGGAAGGAATGGCGATGTCTTATCCTTGGGGAAGAGCATCAATGGCTTGTCGCGCTTCATTTGCGTTTTAAGTACCATTGCCAGCCTTGTGTTGTTGTCTTTGCTAGTGCAGGCATAGTTACACGCATTACAGGTAGAGCTCGTTCTTTTTCTTAAACATGACCTCTCTACCCCGGTGCAAAAAAAACTTCCTGAAGCTGCTGTTGTTCCCAAGGTGAGAATAATTGGCTTGATATAACGACAATATCTGTTGCACAGTCTCAGCAGGAACAAGCCTGAAACTCAATCTGAAGCCCTGGACTCAAGCCAGAGACTAGCGAGAGCAGGCCATTTTCAATTTAGGCCTGAAGCATTATCGACAGTGTCTGTTGGGTCCCTTGTAGGTTCAGAGGGCATGTGTGGAGAAACATCCGTTTCCCGAGCTCCTTACTGCAATGGCCGTGAGGCCATTCTCCTCCAGGAAGTCACGGTACACGTCCAAATTCTTTTGCTCCTTCAGGCAGAAAGCCTCTTCCACACCGGCAATCCAACAGGCAATAATGAGGTAGTTTTTCAAAGAAAACACGCAGGCGCTGTAATTCTTTGAAACTCCCGTCTGGCTTGGGAAAAAATAGGTCCACGGGATACCTTCTAAGAATCACAGGGATCTGCGCTTGGGCTTGTTGGCTTTGGATTGTTGAGTCGTTGAACAGGTTTCGAAGACTTTGGACATCAAGGATTCGAAGCTAAGGGGCTCTCTAGCAAAAACAGAAGGCTCAGCCTTTGAGGCTGAGCGGTAGCTATGATGCTACACATATGAGGGCAACTACGCGAGCAATGCAATCTTTTCTTGTAAGCACCTGCACTGTGAAGGATTCTGTTCATCCGCAGCGTCTGAAGTTTCTCATAAACTGGACTGCTGCACATACCGCAACATGATGCAACTGTGCATAAATTGGTTCCCTAGGGGTTAGCAAAACCACTACTCTCAGCTTGCTCCTCTCGGAAATCTAGCTCGCCCAGCATTGACTGGCGGAGGTCGGAGGCAATGTCCTGCCAAGCTTTCACGGTCCATGTGCCGGGGTACTATGAGACATGACGATAGTGATGACAGGAATGGAGCATCAATAAGAACAATACCAACAACAGTAACAATCACGTGAATTGTAGGCCAAAGTGTTGATGATGGTCATGGTAAGAATATGACGGCAGTAATTAGTGATGATGATGAGGAGGAGGATCATAACAGAATCGTAACAGATCCAGAAGATGTCCGGTAGGCTGCCCTGTTATGAGTTGCCTGTCCTCATACCAAAGATGGTGATGTGGTGTTGCCCTACCTCAAACCCAGAACCATCTTGCTGCCATGCTGCCGCTAAAGACCCGCGGATGTTGAGGTCCGGATTAATGAACCTCAGGGGTTTCATGAGCTCACCGCAAACCTCAGGCAATATCTGCTTACCTTCCTGGCAAGTGATGAAGCGTAGCATACCATGGCGTCCCAGCTAAGACTTTGCAGCAAATCAGTTGACCTCAAACATAAAGCTTTGCTGGAAAACCAGGGAAATTTCCATCGAAGGGGTCGGAGCTTACGGCTTCAGGTCTAAAGGATTTACGTTTCCAGCTGTGTTTCACCGCTCTTTTTGGCCCGTGCAGCGTCACAAGCAAGCGTGAGAATGTCGACAGATTGAGCTGAGAGACTCCAGTATGCGCGCAGCCAGGTAGACGACGCCTCACGAGTGGACAGCCCATACTCAATTCAGGCATGTACCTTGGCTTATGCCCAGTGGTGGCGGGACGGTCTGTAGAACAAGCGGAACTGTTGGGCTCCCGTAAGCTTTGCGAAGTCAAGGAATAAAGAATCATTGGTCATGTTGATTCTTCTTAAAGAAATAGATCCACCTGTAGAACTCCAGAACAACAAATGAGAGAGAGAGAGAGATCTGAATCTGATCCCTGTGTTCTCCCACAGACGGAGCATCTGCGGACCTCTGATCTTGAGGCTTGCTACGAACATCTAGGATGCTGAGGAAATCCAATTGCGATCTGGTGAGATTGAGAAAGTTAACGTTGCGCACGCATTCACGTGAACCCGTGACACAAGCTACTACCGCTTCAACGGGGCATCCCGCGTACACACTTCGTAGGTAGCCTGCCAGAATAAGCCCTTAAAATATATCAATTCTGGAACCGCACGTTCCTGACTGGGCAGTGGCGGAGTCCCCAACTGAGCCTTGTCTTATCCTTGCAATGCTTGATCCTGTGGACAGAGATGGAGAGAGTACGCTGGCACTTGAGACGTGACATACACATGTCAACCCTAAAACCACTCCTATTCTCAGGCACTCCAATTTGATTCCTCAAGGTCCCATCTTGAAACGAAAGCACCCAACCAGGTGGGATCCAGGCCTAGGTCCGTTTTGAGCACCTCTTCAATACCAGGCTTCTGCACCTAAAGCGGCGAACACATGGGTTTAAGGCAAGGTGTGTGAGGCTTGCCGTCCGGAAAAACGATAATACCATGGCAAGGGGCTCGGATTTGAGCCTGTGATCTTAGCCTTCTGCCTCTAGATGCTTACTTATATTTGGGTTTAGTCAGCGCGCCGATTGAAAGCAAAACACGTCCACCCTTCTTGAAACCGTCAACCACGCAGCCAGGTTCCAGGGTTTGGAGCGAATCCGAGCCACAACAATTCCGGTTTAAGCCAGACACCCAACACTCACCCCAAGGGCAGAATAATTCTCAAGCTGGGTGCCAACCTTATAATACAAGGAGCTCTGATGATGGAGCCTGTCAACTCCTCCCCTCCCCTTCACCGCTTCTGATCCTCCACCTACTCCTCCCTCCCCCCTCTTTCTCTTTCTCGCTCTCCTAACCTTAGCCCCACACCTTGACCACCACCTCACTTCCGTCCCGAAGGCGTCCTGTGTGGACTTGCGCGATTGAGGCGGAAGCCTGGCGAGCACTTGAGAAGGGCTGAGGATTCAGTTTTCAAGTTGAGGTTGTGTACGGAGTGAGGTGTATTTGCCGGTTCATGGGCTGGGTACAGCCTACTTCAGGATATTTGTAACCAATGGCTTAAGGTCTATGGATCGGGGCTGAGGATTATGGTCAGGTTCCCGGCTTGGGGTGAAGAATTTCACAGGGTTCACCAGGCTGCATGGGCTTAGCCTGAGAGGGATTGGGCGTGAAGGAGCTTCAGCTTTTGGATTGAAAGCTTTCGGGTCAGTGTTCGAAGAACGATAACGGTATTCATTGTTACGCGTGCTATCGTTCTGGCAGACCACCTTCTTGAAACTCTCCAGTTTGCAATGATCAAATGACCCTACTACGTAGTATGTCTTCTGAATTCGTACGAAAAAGTGAGAAGGACCTTCATGCTTCCTATGCTATGGAATCTCTGGGTCCAGATTCAATTGTCCTTTGAGACTCACGAGCACCCAATCCTACTGACCCCATTCCTCTTTCTTTGTTCAGCTGCTCAGAGGCAGTAAACAGCCCGTGCCGCAAGAGGCGTGGGGTCCACGTAGGCAAAGACGTTGCGCAGCGGCTGCCCCAACCTCATAGCTGCGCATCAAGTGGAAAACAACATGGAAAATGAAATGGAAACACGGTTGCGGGTTAAGAGTAGATTAGGCTTTACTGCGTTTTTTGCGGCACGATTTACAGTTGAGAGACCGCCAGGAACAGGATCCCCTATTACCTGAGGGTTCAAGTGTTTAGCCGAGCCTGAAACACCCTTTTAACTTATAACCGTGAAAGGTTCCTACACTCCTACACCAACGCTAGATACTTCACAAAAACAAAAAAAAACTGACTTGGTAAACCTTGAGCTGGCAAGATCAGCACAAGTCATCACCACAATCCTGAGGCCGAAGCTCACGTTCGATGATGCGTTTCACCTGCGTGCTTCTGACGTAACTTCCTTCTGAATGTCTCAGGGCTGACTGAATCCACCGTCCACAGCACAGCGTACCCGATGACAAAGAGAGCATAAGGAGTGGCGGGCACATTTATGCATGGTGCAGGAACAGAAGTGTTCTGGCTTGCATGGTTCGTTGGTGTATGCAGACTTTCAACTTTGGGAGGCTTGAATTGGCAAGATTTGGTTCGAGCTATGTGTTTATAAAGCTGGCTGGAAAGGTCTTCAATCTTTCTGCCCTTTCGCCCGGTGGGGGTCATGTACATCTTGGCAAGGGCACCATAGTTTCTCTTTAATTCGCTTGCCCTTGCGCAGTAACACAGGAGAAGTTCCAAGCAGCTCTTGCTGACATGGCTCGGAAGCTAATCTGCGGCACACCTCCTCTCACCCCACACCCTGAACCCTGAACACTCAACCCCTTGCCCTGCCCCCAAAACTGCTTGGAAACCTGAAAACACAGGAGAAAGCCGGCAGCCTCTACAAAGGAGACAGTGCTTGTGGAGTCTAGGCCTGAAGCAACCCCATCGGCGGGGAGGTTCGGGGTGAGAGGGTGTAGAGTATTGATTTCAGGGTTTAGGGTGCATGGGGTCTCGGGTTTAGGGTGTATAGGGTTTTGGATGTTGCTTAGGCAGAATTTGAGGCTCAAGGTTCAAGTAGGGTTTAGGGCGTAATACCAGAAAGATGGCTTAGTTTTCTTGCTGAAGAAGGCTGCCACGCGTTCAACAGTTACATCGTGCTGTCCCTCGAACTTCTAGACACTGGCAATGATTGGCATGGTTTGGTGTTGCGTATATGCCCTTTTTTTGAAGCCCATGGGCTCAAAGGACGACCACCAGATCTTGAGGGCCTGCTGCTGCAACTGGCCGCATAAATCAAACGCAAAGTCTTCCAACTCACCAGCACTGGCATGATTGCTTGCCAAAATGTTTGGGAATTTGAGATATGGGTGTTCTAAGCTAGTCCCCAAACCCGCACATACCTGTACATCCACCTATATGCCCCCGCTAAATGGCTTTCATGTGAGGTCCAGCTCTCTGAGTGCTCCGCAGCGCTGGAACTCCTTGACGTAAGGCGCCGGGAAAACTGTGGGCGAGGAGGCAATGAACTGTCCCAGCCTCAGGGTTTCGGGCTTCAGCTTTGCCTTCTGCAAAATCCAAAGATTCAAATTTGATCTGGAAACTAAAAAAAGCCTTGGCTTCACGGCTACCATTCCTTGGGCAGTGTCCCTGTACAAGTGCGAGACCTTCTTTTTACGGTCACCCCTCCGCTTTAGAGGGCTTTAAAACTAGATCGCCATCAAGCCCCAGCATTGCGACAATAGCTCAGTTTGGGGTTTAGAGTGTACGGCTTGGGTTTAATGCCTCAGGTTGAGGCTTTATGATACCAACCATATTGCAGGAAGACCAATAAGACTGATAAGAATGTCGGAGGGTTGGTGGCAAGAGATCTTCCGGCTCAAGCTCCTTAACCTTGGGTTCTGAGCCGCCTGCTGAATCCAAAGCCCCAGATCCTATGCCCTTGTACCCTGATTACCAAAACTCTCGAGCCTTAAAGCCATGGAGTCCCCCAAGACTAAAGCCAGCCAGGAGGCTTCACGTAGGTCGACCCCAAGCGCTCGAAGAGCTTTCGCAAGACTTTGGCGACCTCGGCATCTTCCTTGCTTCGTGTGTTCGGAGTTGATGATTCAGGGAAACTTGCGACCCATCGTGATGGCGTTCAGTGTCGGTACGGCACGCAGTTTGACTTTGCATTTAGAGTTTCCCTTCGGGCTAAAACTGCGGAAAGCAGGCCTCGCTTTTGACAATCCATCGCTCCATCTACCAGCATTAACACACGCGGAGCTGGCTGGCCATCCTGCGCGGCAGTCCCTTCTTGGTCACAGATTCACTGCAACCTGTGAAGCTATAGATATCTAACCTCAGCATCTCCGTGCCCGCAAGGGAGGAGAACAACAAAGCACTTATTGGGTAGAGTCACCCCACCTCGTCCAGAAAAATCATCTTCAGCTGCCATACACCCCTCCCCCCAGACTTCAACCCTGCACACGGGGCCAGGCAAAAGCTTCGTCCAGTTCTGCGGGTGGCTTCTGCGCAACCTGGGGGAGCCGCATGCTACGCAAATGGGTAGAGGCTCAGGTGCTCCTTGAGAAGTCTTCAAAGCTGGCCGTGGACCCATCCCCAAGCCTTGCACCACAAACCTTCACACCTATAGCTGTCAATCCAAGCTTCCAACCTCAAATCCATCAACACTGAGACCTCAGACGTCTACCTTAAGCCTGCGCAGGCCCTAAACCCTTTGAACACTTAATCACCGTGCCGGGTATTATCGGCCTCTGCAGCAGTAGCAGCAGCCGCCTGCGCAGCCTGGAAAAGTGAACTCCAGAAGGTTTGGGGGGACCAGTAGAGACTTAGATTTTGGAGATGGGATGAGGACTTTGCTGTGAGGGGCGTCGTCGGGGCCACTGAGGTTCGCAAAGTAAGGTGCGGGGAAGCAGATTTGCTTGGAGAAGCATGGGTAGTTGAAGTAGGGATATCAAGCCCCCAAGAAAGCTTGTAACTAGCTATATCTCTGGAGTAACTATTGTTATCCTCCGTATACCGCAGTAATAACTACCCATGAGCCTCCATGCGAGCTATAGTCTAAACTCCTAGTATCCCCTTAACAACCCCCATAATAGTCCCCTATATATAAAGTCCTATGTAACCCCCTTTAAGGAGTTTAGATTGGAGCTCATGTAGGCTAATGAGTTTCGGGGAAGCCCTGGCGCCTGAAGCCCTCGGCGCAGACCCACCTCTGGGCCTGTGGAGGCTGCGACCTCTGCCACCTGGCAGGCTTTGAACAACAATAGTAATAATTCATAGTAGTGATAGTTACTACTAGTAATCATAGCAGTAGTAAGGGATAGGGGATTAGGATGTAGGATCTACTCAGGACCAGGAGGGTGTGGGCATGAAGCTTGGGGTTTAGAAGGATGCCAGGGTTTCGGAGGCATTCGAGTTGCATCACCGGTTGCTCAGGCTAATTCGAACTCCCCGCATATCATGCAGAGGTCCCAAACGCGTTCACATCTTGTCGTCATCAGCATGCCTCCAACTAGATGCTATGACCGCTGACTACAAAGGTTGCCACTATTGAGAGGGAACGCTCTGATCTGCAAGCATATCAATATGATTGCAGGCCTCCTTCAGCAGCTTCATTGCATCTTCAGCTAGCACCTGCAGCAAGCTGTCAGTCTGCCGTGGCGAACAACACAATAGCATTGTTCATCTTGGAAACACTTTTTGGCATGATAGCAGTGGTGATGATCATGATGGTGATGATGGTGTTGGCCTCTTTGTGCGCAGAAATGCAGTGCTTTGGTAGCATAAGAGCCGTTGATGGCAAGTTTTTCATGATGGTAATGCTATAAGGTCTCACTACAGTCAATCATCTGTCAGCCAGCCAGTCATACAGCAAGTGGTCTGAAACAGGCAATTACTATGAAGTAGCCTGGCTTGTACAAAATACAAGCCCGTGGTCTGGCGTCAATCGGGGCACTCCGCGTGCCCTGATTGACGCCAGTCCATGGGCTTGTCATTTGTAGAATCCTGACTACTTCATAATAATTGTCCATGAGATCTAACGGCTTATTCCTGACGTCTGTCACGTCTCGATCTGCGCAAACTGCATCAACTAGTCGCAGGTCTAGGGTGCACGGGGTACAGTCCGTTGAGTGCAAGAGATGGCCTGCTGAAAATGTCAGGACCTTGTAGCTGTAGTTTCAAAAGCATGTTGGTGGTGGGCCCAGAAAACGCATGTCAACATAAATCAGTGCGGGATACTCTGCACATGAATGCAACACTCAAGAATGCCAAGCACACATCAGCTCGATCCAAACATCTGGATTCTTCGCGCGACATAAAGCAAGGAACGTTTCCGAACGTCCTGTAGCTCGATGAGCTTAGCCTTTGCCATCCCGAAACGCTGTCCCAGCTAATGTTCAAAGATTTGGGCTCTATGCATTCCCCCTTAGTCTGAACATGGATGCCTCACAACATACTTGAAACAGCTCAAGCCGCCCTCCAAAAGGGGAATTGGAATTTTAGAGAAATGGAATTCAAGATGATCACGGTAAGATTTCCAGGCCTCAGGCCTACCTACCCTGAAGGCCGTCGTACACCCTGATATTTTTCAAGCCTGCAATGCCTCGGAGCCCACCATCCCACAGCCCTGCACCCGAAAACTACCGAGCGGACTGTAGACAGGCCCCTGCTCTACTTTCAGGAGTCTTCCTCGAAGCTTGAAATTACACGCTTCTACAGGCCTGCGGAGGCCGATCCAAGATGGATCCCTCGACCGGCCGCGTAGCCGTTGCCGGGCGGCGCACAGCGGCTCCTGGGCAAAGGGCTTCGGCTGTGAAGCCACGGCTTTTTCAGAAACAGGCAGGATAGGACTTCATACCACCAACTAAATTATAGTCATAAGTCATAGGAGTGACAATGCAATGATGTCAATCACGTGGGGTGACAGGCTTCACACAAGCGACCGTTCCGGGCTTTGTGTTTGCGAGGTTCTGGGCTTGGGAGGGGCTTGGGAGTGCCAGCTTCAGAGGGCCAGAGCTTGGGGTCAAAACAAGTTCAGGTTCGGTGTTTCCGCACGTCTGGGATTTTGAGTTCTGGTCATGCGCAGCTTAGAAGCTGCGTGCGTGAAACAAATATAAACATGCTACAACTGGTTCTAACAGCACAGGCATAGCATTGGCGCGCAGCATCATGATGATGCAGTCACAGCAATAGCAGCTTTGCGGTGTAACTTCTACTCAGGATTGCAAGCCAGTCTTTGTTGGCCAGGTATTTACAGTCCACAGCTGAGGCCAGCGGTCTCAAACTTGGGGGCTTCTTTGCTTTGCAGTCTGGAAGGTTGGAATGCCAGTCCATAACCAAAGGAGGTAGACGCAACTTATGGGCTTCTGCTTCATGTACCGAAGCTGGAGGAGTCTTGATAGAGAAGTCTCATCCTCCATTAGGCGATCCTTACAAGATGAGCCATCTTTGAGACGGTTCGGGCCTCTCGAGGAACAAAGGGCGCTAACCTTTTGGAGGCCTCTTCAAGCCTCAAAGTCTCATAAACTTACAGCCTTAACCCTAACTTCCCAACCGAGGCAAACAAATCTAATCTAATGCCTGTGCTAGGGACGCGAAGCTGAGTAGAGGGCGAAACAAGCCCTTGATTGCACCAAGCCCATAAATTGAAGAAGCTCGAGGCCTCTGCGTTGCCCTCGGTCCAGCGACTGCCTCGCAAGATAGGACTCGTCTCAAAAAAGCTCTGAACCAGGCCCAAGGCTTGCCGTAGGGAATGTCACAGAAAAGCTGAAGATTAAAAAAACTGAGCATATACAAAAGTAAGAGGGAGCCTGGAAAGGCAGCTCATTGGCGTCAAGTGCCCAAAGACAAAAAAAATCACAGAAATAATGGCAAAGTCCATAGCGAAAGAGGAAGAAGAAGGTCAGCTAAATCACTGCGAGTGAGGTGCACCAACCCTTGTAGAAAAAGGTGAGGACGTCGGCAAGCGCCATATTTTGAAGGTGCCATGAGGAAACAAACGCATCATGGTTGCTACACATGTGCCCCAGACGAAAAGCTGGCTACATCCTCCTAAACTTTGAGAAGCTCCCATCTACACTCAGCGAGGGAGCACCACCAATTTCGCTCCCATGGTCTACACCCGTACTGTGACTTAAAGGCTTCAGGGCTTGGAATCTGGTATCAGAGGATACCTTTTGGAGGTCTGTCAGCATGGTGGTATGGCAATTCAGTCAGGAGCGCATCCGTAACGCGAACCACGCAGGCCGGCCTGATAATGGGCTGGCTACCACAGAATGCGGCTGCTGAGACCTGTGCTTCCCGCTGCTAAATGAGCTATCCGCCGACCCCGCTCTGCG